AAAATACCAGCCAGGCATTCCTACCAGAATGGTTATTCCTACACCTTTCTCCATCTAGACAAGTGTTTTTCAACCTGGGCAACTTTTAAGATGCATGGAGTTCTGGCTGGGGAATTCTGGGAGTTGAAACTCACATCTCTTAAAGTTGCCCAGGTTGAAAAATACTGACCCCCCCATCCACCAACATTTAGCTATTTCCACATCCTGGTTGAGGAAAGGGGAGGCGGGAGAGTACAACAGGTTGCTGATACTGTTCAATTCTTCAGAAACATTTGCTGCAAATTCTTCTGAGATCTCAACAAAATTCACACTCACTTTCCTCCAGGCTGAGTGATTGTGCTCTGTAAGGTCACTCCTGTGCTGGGACTTCTGAGCAAAACGAGGACGCCAGCAGGACCCAGAGACTTGCCTTTGCTAAGAACCTGCAAGGAACGAACGAACAGAACTACCTTTCCACTTGCAGAAAAAAGGCATTATGTTCAACCATGTTTAAAATTTAAAAACAAAATACCTATCACGCAAGAGGAAGGCCCCACAAAGACATGGAGCCTTAATGATCGTCTTCAGCACAGGTTATGAACCAGTCTTAAGAAACAAGCAGGTCTATACAGGCAAAGTAACACAGGTAACTGTCAAAAAAAATAAAAAATTAAAAAGAGGAACCCTTACCTTCCCGTTTACAGAGAAGCCAGTGAAAACAAAATTGATATCGCCTCCTTTAGTGCAAATGTCGTTGACGCCGTCAACATGGATGTCCACGCTCGTTGGCTCTGGAAAGGAAGATGAAAACCCGCCAACGTGATCCTTTCCCGCTAAAAGTAGCAATTTTTTTTTTTCAAATAATTGAAATCGTAGCAGTGTTCCAATATCTCAGGGGCTGCCACAAAGAAGAGGGAGCCAAGCTATTCTCCAAAGCGCCTGAAGGCAGGACAAGAAGCAATGGATGGAAACTCATCAAGGAGAGAAGCAACCTAGAACTAAGGAGAAACTTCCCGACAGTTAGAACAATTAACCAATGGAACAACCTGCCTCCAGAAGCTGTGAATGCTCCAACACTGGAAGTTTTTAAGAAGAGACTGGACAGCCACTTGTCTGAAATGATATAGGGTTTCCTGCCTGAGCAGGGGGGTTGGACTAGATGATCTCCAAGGTCCCTTCCAACTTTATTATTATTATTATTATTATTATTATTATTATTATTATTATTATTAAATAAGAGTTCAGGTCTTGAACTGTCTTTTTGCTAAACCCAATTCTTACAGGCCACCTAGAGCACAATCCAATCCATCTCTAGATTCATGATAGCTTATCAACTGGTAAAAAGGCATTAGACTTTGGCAATGGAAGCAAATAAGCCTAGAAAGTAGATTTAGGAACTGTTTTGAGCATAAATACTTCTTATCAGTTCAGGCCTTGGTGCTCTCTCAGCTTGCCTGTTTACTTGCAGATGTTTCATTACCCAACTAGGTAATGTCAGCAGTGCAAGAGAGGATGGGGCTTGCTCCCTGATTATACACATGAAACATCTGCAAGCAAAGGCCTATATATGAAACAACTATAAATGCCTATTCATCTATAAATGAAACATCTGCCAACAAACACCAAGAATTCCAGAATTCAACCCTGAGCTGCAGAGATTCAGAAATGGTAATATGGACATAAAACAAAAAACCCGCCCAAAACTGCAGTTCTTTCAATGAAGGGTGAATACACAATCACAGCTCTTGGAAAATTAAAAGATTCTAAATGCTTTAGACTTCAGTCATCGGACAGATGAGAAAGACATCTTGGGATGGGCTTCAATAAACAACTACAATAAACAACGTTTATTATAAACATAGCTTATAAACAAATACACAACTACAATAGGCTTCAAATCAACTGGAAGATTTTTCTATAAAAATAGCAACTTACCAAAGCTCCACCCTAGGGGAGGCTCAATTTTAAGGACAAAATCCCCCTAAAAAAGAAAAACAGAAAAAAATGCTATAGTTATACTGTATTGCAGTTCAATTCTTTATCTTAAATATTGACAGGCCATATTGCGATTAAGATTTTGGACAGGGACAAAGAAAGCTCCTGGAGGAATCCCTGCTCAGTCATTGACCTACCTCTAAATTTCAACACATTTTGAAAACTTATTATTTACCTTTCGAATCTTTTTCTTAAAAAAATAAACAACCATCTAGCTTTCATGAATTTCACGGTGGATTTTCACACACCCCCTTCCCATCCATCACCCATAGCCACCCACAGAGTGGCAAGTGTTAAATTGAAGAAACCAGCTTCAGTAAGGTTGCCTTTAAACACGGTCCTGAAACGTAATGCCACCTAATGTAAATTATTAGATAGCCTCTCACCTTATCATACAGAGGAATCATAAAGTAACCATTATTTGGAGCACAGTCAGTTTGGTATTTCAGGGTGCCGTGCTTGGTGTACAATTTAACCTGCATAAGAAACATTGAAAGGGACCAAAAAAAAAGAGAATTATTCTGGCAGAGCACTTGATTTACGATACTTCGATCCTGCTGCAATTAAACACAACTCCTGGGCTGACAGGGTGCATCAAAATATAAAATATTATATGTATGTATGTATGTATGTATATCCTTAATGACTTAATGACAGATAATGGTTATCTGTTCAATAATATACAATCCTCCAACTCCGGGAGCTAAGTTTGTTTTAATATTGTAAATAGTTGCTTTTATTGTTTTAAAATTTTTAACAATAAACAGCTAATTTATATTCCTCCTGGAGTTCAAGGATTATATATTATTGAACTGTGTGTGTGTGTGTGTGTGTGTGTGTGTGTGTGTGTGTGTGTGTATGTATATATATATGTATAGTTCAATAATATATAATAATATATGTATATAATATAATAACATACAATAAAAATAAATGTTAAGATTTAATAAAACCCTAAACCCTAACATTTTTTTAAAAGAATACCACCAAACTTCGCTCCCTGCCCCCTCCATCCAAGTCCCCTCCCCCACTGGCCTACCTAGCAGGGAGGGCGCTCACCTCGATCAGGGAGTAGTTGATCTCGACGTCGGACCTGACGAAGCCCCCGCAGCCCACCACGATGTCCTCGGAGCCCCAGGCCCCGGCCCAGAGGGCTCCGCACAGTGCCCACCACCAGCATCCCCACGCCGGCGTCCCCCGCCGCAGCATCGCGGAACCGCCCGTCGTAACACGCGGAGCAGCCGCGGCAGGCCAGCGCTGACTCAGGAAGAGCCAAGGCGCATGCGCCCGCCGCGCTCGATGGTTCCTTCTTAGGGGCAAGAGCGGCAGGGCGGAAGCGAGCGCGGGACCAGGAAAGCTGAAGTTACCTCGGACCGTGCTAGCCGGGGAGGCGTTTTCGTCTCGGTTGCTTCGGAGGCTTTAAGAGGCAGGATATTAAGATAATTGACAGAGGGGAATGCTTTGGGTTTTTGCAATTTTTTAAAATATTGATTATGTCTATGGTGATTCTGTTTATTTGTTTATTTATCTGTTTGTTTATTTATCTGTTTGCTTATTGATTATACTTCTACGCCACCCATTCCATCTAAGTGACTAGGCGTTTTATAATAAAAAAAAACACAGCAGAATAAAAAGCATAAATTAAAACAGTTAAGAACAGATTTAAAACTTGAGATATGAAAAAATTAAACAAACGAAAGGCGCACCCACAGTTTTGGTGGTTTACAGCTTTGCTCACATCATACCTGAATTTGCACATTCAAATTTATTGACTAGGGTGCAATTGCTTCCATTCGCCCAATGTCAAGCCATTGTTTGCTTAATCATAGTTTACTGTTGAAATCACTGCTGATGAATGAATTGCAGAGCATTTGGCTACTAGACTGTCATTGCAGCTCTTCCTGAAGAGGGCAGATCAATAGCTGGATCTGCAGGAGCAGATAATGATGGAGATTGTGGGGAAATATCCATCCAATGGAGAAGGATTTCTGAACATGAGGTTGATAAAAGACTGGAGGTGTGCAGGTGGGCTGTGTTCGTACAAGCAGCCCATTTTGTGAATTTGCACAGTGTGATGAACAATAATCAGATGGGTTGTGTTTACACAGGGGTTGTGTGTTATTGCAACAAACTGGTCCCTAGGATGATGTGAAGCTTCATGATGTCATGCCACAAAGGTTGCAGCTTAGTTCTGGAGTCCCTACAACTATTGCAAATATGTCTTGAACTCATATTTGTCATGACATCTACATGGTTATGTCATTTGACCATCGCCAGCCAGCCCTTTATTGGGTGAAATTCCCAACACAATGAACCACAAAAAAACTTCCGCACCTTTATTATTTTTATAAATAACTCAAGGCAGTGAACATCCTCCTATTTTTCCCCCAAACAATAACCCTGTGAGGTGGGTTGGGCTGAAAGGGAGGGACTGACTCAAAGTTACCCAACTGGCTTTCATGGCGAAGCCGGGAGTAGAACTCACTGACACCTGGTGATTGGCCTACAAGATCACCCAGCTGGCTTTCATGCCTAAGCTGGGACTAGAACTTACTTTCTCTTGGTTTCTAGTCTATTGCCTTCACCATGAGACCAAACTAGTTCTCAATAGCCACATTATGTGGCTGAGAGAGATCCACTAGCACAAACCTATTTGAATCTGGGTTTTCCTGCCGTGGTTTTAGTTCAACCACCAATTCTTATTGATGTTCAATTCAACACAAAGAAAGATGGGGAACCTTATTGTTCTTTTCAAGCTTTCCAATGTCTCAGCCAGATGCTGAGTCTAGCAGTATTTACGTTCTCAGCACACATGGTTGATTTATCAACTAAAGCAGGTCTCTAAGCCATTGCGTCAATCCTAGACTGCTTTTCAATTTAAGAGAATCATTTACCAGGCTGGTTTATTGATTAGTTTACACCAAGCCAGGCGTCTAACCTTCAGTGGACTTTACTACTACATACCCAAAGCACTGTTTGTTTAAAACAGCCCATCCCCACGAATGCCCTTCAGAGTGGTTTGTGTTTCTGGTTTTCAATAACCCTTCCTCACTGTATATTGCAAACCAAGATTTAGAACTGAGAACCCAGCCACTGTGGTTGATTTATCAAAACATGATTAGAGAAATCAGGGCTTCATACAGTGAGGGAATCCATCTAAGGTGAGTTAGGTTTTTTCAAGTTCTAGTCGACGTTTTTGTCATAGGCTTGAGAAACAGCGTTGATAGAATTCTCTGCCCGTAGTAAATTTAGCATGGACTTCTATTTTGTAGACCAGCTGCAACGCCATTCTCTCCTCCATAGTTGATCTATGGATTTGCTTTTACCTGCAGTAGGTAAAGGAGCTCTGGATGGTAAGACTCCAGAAAGGGTGCAGAGAAGAGCAAGTGGGAAAGGAGCTCTGGATGCTGAGATTCCAGAAAGGGTGCAGAGAAGAGCAACAAAGATGATAAAGGTTCTGGAGGCTAAGCCGTACGATGAATGGTTGTGGGAACTGGGTATGCTTAATCTAATGAGGAAACAGATGAGGGGAGATACGATAGCAGTCTTCCAATACTGGAGGAGCGGTCACAGAAAAGACAGGATTGACTTCTTCTCCAAAGCAGCTGAGGGCAGGACAAGAAGTAACGGATGGAAGTTCATCAAAGAAAGATCCAGAGAAATTTCCTGACAGAACAATTATCAGTGGAATGGCTTCTCTCCAGAAGTTGTGGGTGCTCCATCACTGGAGGTTTTTAATAAGAGACTGGACAACCATTTGTCCTGAATGGAATGGGTTCTTCTGCTCAAGCAGGGGGTTGGACTAGAAGATCTCTAAGACCCTTTCCAACCTTGTTATTCTAGACTCTAAATCCTCACCCTCCCTGGAAGGGGCAGAACTCGGCATGGAACCAAAGAAGATAAATATTGCAGAATGACAGGCAGCAGGCAGATCCGCACAAGACAGAAGCCTCATCCACTGATACGATGATCTGGGTGCCTGGGATATGTAGTTCTCAGCAGAATCCAGCACCCGAGGCAAAGAAGAGAAGCACTGTAGAAAGGAGTGGAGGCAGCCGCTGGATCTGAAAAGGCGCAAAGCAGAAGACTGAGAAGATGAGCTGGGCACAGGGGTTATGTAGCTCTCAGCAGGATCCAACAGCTGGACTGGGGGTGAGCAGAAAGCAGCGTTCCTTTCTGGCTATTGATTGATATGGGTTTCATGCTGGGTACCTTTAACATGCGTAGAAACTGGATCAGCCTGGTCCAAATGAAGGGTCAGGAGCATGCAGCCCTGATTGTTTTCCACGTACAAATTTATGCATGCCCACTCACCGGTAAGGGACTCTGACCATCTGTTCTCTTTCTTGTAAAGTTGTTTCCCCCCCACCCTTTCAATTCATACTTCCTAGTTCAGTGGTTCTCAACCTGTGGGTCGGGACCCCATTTGGGGTCGAATGACCATTTCACGGGGGTCGCCAAACAACGCAGTCCGCCATTCCCCCCCCCCTTTTCCTTAGCTGTGCTACTCCCTTTTATTCTATTGGCTTTTGAAAGCCAATGGAATAGACTCTCTTGAACAGAGTCTAATTCTCTTGGCTTTCAAAAGCCAGTAGGAATTGTCCAGGCTGTCTCTGCCCTGCTGAGCCCGCCAAAAGTCCCATTCTGCAAACGGTGCTGCACCAGTTGAGTAGTCCTCGGCTTACGATCGGTTGAGTAGTCCTCGACTTACGACCGGTTGGGGGTCGCGGCATTAAAAAGGTTGAGAACCACTGTCCTAGTTCCTTCCTCAAATCAGATTTGGAAGTAACTAACAGAAGGGAAAACTGATCTGGGGAACTGGGAAACTTTGCCTTGTAGACTGGACGCAAGAGAGGAGGGGAAAAAAATAATAGAAGTCAAGAAATTTTGGACTTCTGGACGTTCCTCAAAATGCTTTCGGGGTAAGAGTTGGAGGACCACGTGCACTATCAAGAGAGACGGAAGTCACGATGGTAGCAGGTCCAGCTGTGATCAAAACAGGAAACAGATGGAAATTGCAACCCTTTTAGCCAAAAAGGCAGCTAAGAGTTCCTTAGCCTAGAAAAGCAGGCGAAAAGAGCCTGGACATTTGACCATTTAAATTGACAACTTAAATCTATTCCGTCGGACTTATCTGAAGGGACAAGTCATTTTCCTTTCAACTTTCAGGTTAATAAATACCATTAATGGCTGGCTTGGGGTTTTAAAACAGTTTGTGTTTGACATTGGTTGAACCGGTTTAACTGGTCTTTCTGGATGGAAATTGGACAACGACAGAGTAGACCTTTTAATCTCAACAGTTGTGATTTTTGCCTTTTTTGTGTGTGTGATCTTGTGTTTTTGTAGAACCAGAACCAGACGTGGTGGATGGATCTCCCAGGCTTTGCAGCATGTTTTCAAAACACGGTTGCAATTTGGGTCCCTTGTTTTTATCTTTGGGCTTCTTTCCCCTTCTATTATCTTTACCTGCGGAAAAACGGCAGGGGTTACATCAGGATGTCGGCTGTCTTCAAAGCAAAAATGGTAAGGTTTAAACCCCCGGGAGAAGGATTCCAGACATAGATAAATAAACAATGTCTGTCTGTTTGTTTATTTGTTCAATCTGGAGGGCTTACCCTTCATAAAATATATTACAATTAAAAATTTAAAAACTGCTTTAAAACAAAAACCAGTAAAACCGGTTAAAAAAAACCCCAACAACATTAAAAACATCCAGTTCAATCCAGACTGCGGTTATCGCCATTGTTATGCTCTTCTTTTTCATCCTAGAGCGCTCAAGATGGCCAAAGACACAAATAAGAATGATAAAGCAGCAGAAATACAATTTAAAATACAGGTAGCCTTTGGCATACGACCAGTGGTGGGATTCAAATAGGTGACCAACCGGTTCTCTGCGTGGATGCCGCTTCCGGAAGTCCATTCTGAGCCTGGGCCACAAAAAATTAGCTACCAGTTCTGCTGAAGTGGTGCGAACCGGCTGAATCCCACCACTACATGCAACTCAGATTGGGGCCAGAATTTCCATGGCTAAGCGGGGGAGTCGTGTCTGACTTTACAAACTTTTGGCCACGGTTGTTAGGCAAATCATGGGTTGTTAAGTGAATCTGGAATCCATCTTGATGGAAGCAAGATGGAAGGTCAGAAATGGCAATTGCATGACCCCGAGGTGATGATGATGATGATGATTTTGGAAGGGACCTTGGAGGTCATCTAGTCCAACCCCCTTCTCAGGCAGGAAACCCTACACCATTTCAGACAAACAGCTGACCAGTCTCGTCTTGAAAACTTCCAATGATGCTACAATCGTTATAAATACATGAAGTTTCCCAAATGCGTGAGTTTTGATGACATGGTCGTTGGGAGGCTACAACGGTTATTAAGTGTGAGGACTGGTTGTCAGTCCCTTTTCTCAGTGCTATTGTAGTTTGGAATGTCGCTAAATGAATAGTTGTTAAGTCGAAGATCCCCTGTAATGACAACTCTGTAATAACAGTTGGAAACGGATCTCAGGAGCAAATTTTTCTGACGGTGCTTTTTTACGTCTCTTTAGATTCTGGGCTTTGCCTTGTCAGTGCTGTGCTTCTCCACCGTCTCCTACCTCCTTTGGGAAACTAGCCAAAGGGTTTCCCCAGCGCCCGGACTCATCATTAGCCCTACAGTTCAACTCGTCACCATGGTGAGAACAATTCATTTGTCGATCAATGGAGATTCTCATCGCTGTTCCCAAAGGTGCTGTTTCACGAGGCAGTTGGACTTTCTTGTTTTTCTTTGAAGACGTTTCGCTTCTCATCCCAGAAACTTCTTCAGTTCTGGTGGAATTCTCCACCATTCCGTCAGAACTGAAGAAGCTTCTGGGATGAGAAGCAAAAATGTCTTCCAAAAAAAAGAAGAAGAAAGTCCAACTGCCTCGTGAAAAAACACCGTTGGGACAATTTCATTTGTCTCTATTTTTCATGCTCCAATTGTCTCAGAACTTCAGAACTTGTGATCATCAGAAGGAGAAACTTGATATTATTAGCCATAAATGCAGGCAAGATCCATTAGCCCAGGGATCCCCAGCCCCTGGTCCGTTGACCAGTAGCGGGCTGTGGCATGCCAGCAGCCAGTCCACACAAAAAAAGCAAAGTTCCATCCGCGGGATGCAGGCAGCACACAAAACCACACACCCTCCAGTCCATGGAAAAAACTCTCTCCACGGAACCTGTCCCTGGTGCCCAAAAGGTTGGGGACTTCTGTGTTAGCCTTTTGTACCTTGCCTAATGAAAATCCAAGCCAGAAAGATGGTTGAATATCTCTTTATTTATTCATAAGCAAGGAGAAACTACCCCACAAATAATAAGTGAGAAGGTAGGGGATCACTTTAGATATAGTTCAAACACATTGGGCTTGGAACAAGTTCTTTCGTTAGCATCGTTGGACTCCTTGCTGACATTACCCATTTAACATGTCACATTTAATAGCATCCCGTAATATTCATAGTTCGATCTTGTTAATGCCCATCCTCATATTCAGGAGGCGTGGTTTTTACAATATAATGAGGCATAAGGAATTGGCAAGTTACTAGACTTCTTTGTACAGTCCTTGTTCGTATCAGAATCCTCCTTCCTCTTGGAGAATTTGCTTCCTTACTTCAAGGGAATAGAGACGTTAATCTCAGCCCTGGAAGACATTAGACTTCCATATAATGGGCAAAAACGACAGGAAGGTAGAGTTCATCTGAAATTTCAGAGAAACCGTTTGACTCAGAGTTTAACCAGGAGACAAACCTAACAGAAAGTTGAGGTTTATGTAAAACACCTTCACTGGGGAATATTCTGGATCCCTGCATTCTGCGTGGTTGAACTGGTTCCTCAAAAGCCGATTGGAGTTCAACCCTACCCCACACGTCCTTTATATTTAGCATTTCTCCTCCTTTCCCCCCCCCCTCTTAGATCCTAGTGATTTTTCTCACCCAGATGGAACGGATGAAAGGGGTCCAATCCTCGGGCATTTTGATGGTCTTTTGGCTGCTGTCTCTCCTCTCTTCTAGTCTCTCCTTCAGCTTCAAAATGCACCGTGCTATGCAAGGGGTAAGTCTGCCTCTCTTCAGCCTGGTGAGACAGTTCGGACAAGGAGCACAGCCAGAGAGACGTATTAGCTCTAGTATCTTAATTGTAAGGTATCTTAACAGAAGCTTACAGGTTGGAAGGCATGTCTCTCTCCTCCACCCTTGCTTTTACAGTTCCCAGAAACTAGGACAGAGACATTTAGAACATAGAATGATACAGCTGGAAAGAACCTCAGAGGTCTTCTAGTCATTATGAAAATAAGAACGTTGGCAGATTATTTCATTGATTGATTGATTGATTGACAGGGATTCCAAGAACAGCCACTCCACCATCTTTCTGTGTACATTTACTTTGTCCTGGTTTTCTTGGAACTGGTGTTGTGCTGTTTTAAAGATCCACCACCTTTCTTTTCCAGCGTTAGCAATGACTTGGTAAGTAGCAGATATTTTTGGTTGTTTCTTTATAGAGCTTGGGATAGATTTTAGGGTCTTGGTACTTTTTCTTGGACTCTAGACCAGGGGTAGGCAACCTTGGCTCTTTTATGACTCGTGGACTTCAACTCCCAGAATTCCTGAGCCAGCCATGCTGAGGGGAAAGGGAGAGGTTTCCGAGCTGAGCCACGCTGGCTGAGGAATTCTGGGAGCTGAGGTCCACGAGTCATAAAAAAGCCAAGGTTGCCTTCCCCCGCTCTAGACATTGGTGGGTTCTGTCTCAGCAGTCTTTCTCCCAAAGAGTAGATTTTAAACATTTCCATTTGTTGTAATTTTCACTATTTCCTAAACTCGTCCTATTAACATCCATTCCTTGTACAACAGAAAAGTGTAAATTTGATAGTGGGGTAAATGCATAAACTCAGGCTATGTCCTCAGCGTTGATGTATGCAAATTTGAGAATGGTCTTTTTCTTTAAACATTCGCAGAATCCCTGTCCTGAATCTGGAGCCTCTTTTGTTTCCAAACTCACTTTCTGGTGGTTTGCTCGGTAAGAATTCAAACACTATTGCCCCCCGGCTTTTAAGTGACAAGCGATGGCTGTCTGATCCATCTGTTTGACTGGGCAAGATATTTTTTTGCCAAGCATTTTCCTGCTCCGAGTTAAGCCAGGCTGCCTTCTGCTGTTAATCAAAGCTGCTCTTGGAAGCAAACATCATTATGGGGAGCTGACAGTAATATTATGCCTCTGCAGAGAGGCAGTTTGCAGAGCAATCTGGGGGATTCAGGCCTTAAATTAAGGAGCTGCAGCAAAAAGTGGTTTTTATTTATTTTTTCCTTTTTACGGCTAAAAGACCCAAAGAACACAGTGCAGATATAATTTCAACATTTGACAGAAGGTAAACAAGAGGAGTGCTCTGTGCTACCTCAAAGCACCTTGAGCCTTTGGAAACCAAAGCATTGCAGTCTTGTTTGAGCAACCCGAGAGACGTCACAACTTGTAAGGCTTGCAAATAACTAGTGCTGTGCACAGTCTTGGTTTGAAGGCTGCTGAGCTGAAAATTTCCTTTCAATCCAGTTCTGGAATGGAATGGGATGGGATGGAATACAATGCAGAACAGAATTGAATAGAGTAGAATAGAGTGGAATGGAATGGAATGGAATGGAATGGAACGGAACAGGAACAGAATAGAATAGAATATTGAAGACTAGACTAGATTAGACTAGACTAGACTAGACTATAGACTAGACTAGACTAGACTAGACTAGACTAGACTAGACTAGACTAGACTAGACTAGACTGGAGAGAAGAGAAGAGAAGATTGAAGATTAGACTAGACTGACTGGAATAGAATAGAATAGAATAGAATAGAATAGAATAGAATAGAATAGAATAGAATAGAATAGAATAGAATAGAATAGAATAGAATAGAATAGAATCACAGAATAGAATAGAATAGAATAGAATAGAATAGAATAGAATAGAATAGAACAGAACAGAACAGAACAGAACAGAACAGAACAGAACAGAATAGAATAGAATAGAATAGAATAGAATAGAATAGAATAGAATAGAATAGAATGCTTTATTTGGCCAAATGTGATTAAACAGACAAGGAATTTGTCTCTGGTACAGAAGCATTCAGTGTACTGCAAAGCAACAGAATAATGATAATCATAATAATAACACCAATAAGAGGGGGGAGTAAAGAAGATAATAAGGATAAATAATAAAACTAGAGCCATACTACAGGGTAAATACACATAGACATTAGACAGCACTGTGAAAATTAAATGTTCAGCAGAGTGATGGCACGAGGGAAAAAGAATTCCCTGTGTCTAGTTGTTTTGGCATGCAATGCCCTATAGCGCCATCCCAAGGAGAGGAGTTGAAACAGTTTATCAAGTCCCTTCCCGTCAGTTTGTTTCCTGGAGTCCTGCTCATAGAGGTGAACCCCTGTCCTTGAAACCATCATCCAGGTTGACCCAACTCATTCAGTCCATGATTCATAATGGATCTGGGATGATTCATGGGCATCTAGTAAGAACTGCATATCAACCAACCTTTATTTCCAGTCCAAGACCAAACACAACAACAGATTAAACTGTTGCATATCGTTTCTTTTTCCTCCGCTTGTGATTTTTCTTTTTGTTCCATACAGGCTGATCTGGAAAGGCTACTGGACACCCGTACAGCCAGAAGACCTGTGGTCACTGGCCAGAGACAACTCTTCTGAAGAAATCATTGACAAGGTGAAGGACGCTTGGGATAAACACTCTCCAAGAACCGAACAGTAGGTTGTTTTGTGTTTATGTCTGTTTTTTCTGGCTGTCCTGTTGATTAAGGTGACGCTGGATGGCTTTTTAGCTCTCGGTTTCTCCCTATTCCTCTTTTAATCGGATTTCTCTTTTGTGGAGAGACTTAGCAATTGGCAAAATACTGGAAACGACACTCACAGACACACACTGATGTGTGTTTCCTGCAGAACAACCACATGTGTAAGATTGAAAAGAAGGCAAACCCAGAGGGAAAATGCTAATGAGACGGCCACCTTGCTCCATCCGGAAGCTAGCAAGAGCAAAGAGCTTCTAAAAAGTTTCTGGAGTGTTTTTGGAATTCATTTTCTTCTGGCAACCCTCTGTTTGCTCACCTGCGATGTCTTCTTGTTTTCGGTTCCAAAGATACTGAGGTATGTGGACGTGAAACTTTTGTTTCCAAAGAGGGATTGCCAAGAGTCTTTGAGGGCCATCTAATCCCAACTTCTCTTTGCTCTGGAGTTTGATCCAGGAAAGTAGCGGCCATCAGAGTAAATAATACTAGATGAGACAATCGTTCACGCGCCAGACACATCTTGGCAAACAGCATCCTGACATCTTTAGTTGAAAGGACCAGGTAATGGGGGGTGGAAAAGATATGCATCCATTTGGGATTTTAGTGTCAGGCATGAAGAATCAGAATCAGGACCATAGGTTATGTTGTAGTTAAGAAGGTGTATTGCTCAAACCTATACACAAGAATCTAGTCATCTAATAATCATGCCTAAATTGGTGCTAGATAAGACTCAACAGAATTCGAGATGGCCTGGACTTGGACTTTGTGGGAACATAATGACTCCAGGCTAATGACTCGCTTAACTCCGCCCCCAGCTCTATCTGTTCTTCTCCTACATATAGAGAGCCCTGTCCTGTCTGCCGAGCTAAAAATAAACTGAATTCACCTAACACAATTAACTTAATGGCTCATTTAACCCATTTCCTTGGGTTTGACCATATACAAATCTCAAAACTAGCCAAGATTAAGATGAGCCAAGTTTTTTAACTTTATATAGATGCCACTGTTAGGTCATATTTCTCTGTTCGAATCGAGACAAATACAGCGATAATCGAACTTGGAAGAAGAAAACTTTTTAAGATCCTAATGGCCACCGTTGTCCTAAAGCAGACATGTCAAACACAAGGCCCGGGGGCCAAATGCGGCCCGTGAAGTGGTTTCATGTGGCCCACGAAGCCATCCTGGAAACAGTGACAGAAAGGCCCCCGCTGCCTTGGCCCTGGCCCAGGCCAGCCGGGAGCCAATGTACAATTTTGTGGTGGCCATCTATGCTGAAACGCATTCAGTCTTAGCTCCATAAGCACCCTCCCCCCGCATGGCCTGAGAGGAACAGTGAGGCTCCTCCAGTGGACCATGCTTGGCACTTGCCCCGGTCCCACCCCCTTCTGCCAGAGACCCTCAGATCTATCCCACTCCTGCCCAGGCCCCCACAGGCACCCTTGACGCGAACGATGAAGAGCTGGCCACACCCACCCAGTAGGCCACACCCAACTCCATCCATGCCCACTCAGTAGGCTGCACCCACCCTGGCCACATCCACCCGGCCCCCTGAGGGCAACCGCAATGCTGATGTGGCCCTCAATGAAATTGAGTTTGACACCCCTGTCCTAAAGGTTTATGGGCTGTTGTGGTTCTGGTTCAAGGACAGTAGATTTACTTTTATTCTTCTTGTAGTCTTTTCCTAGATTTTATCAATGACCAAGAAGCTCCTCTTTGGATAGGTTATTTCTATGCTGCCACAATGTTCCTTTTGGCTTGTCTGCAGACGTTGTTTGAGCAGCGGTACATGTATATATGTTTCATGCTGGGCATGAGGTTAAAGACAGCCATCACCGGCCTTGTTTATCGGAAGGTAAATCCTGCTCTTTGTTGATCTTTTTTTTTTAAAACTCTGTGGTGCTCCTGTGAAGTACATTTAGGCCTGTCCGAAGGGGGGTCAGTTTCAAAGGGATGGAAGGATGGAGCAGAACTGGAGTACTGAAGTTGCAAAGGACACTGGTGACATACAGGTAGTCCTCGGCTTACAACAGTTTGTTAAGTGACTGTTCAAAGTTACAACAGCACTGAAAAAAGTGACTTATGACCGTTTTTCACACTTACGACCACATCCCCATGGTCACATGATCAAAATTTGGATGCTTGGCAACTGGCTCATATTTATGACAGTTACAGTGTCCCGGGGGTCACGTGATCCCCTTTTGTGACCTTGTCACAAGCAAAATCAACGAGGGAAGCCCAGATGCACTTAACGACCGTGTGACTAATTTAACAACAGCAACGATTCACTTAACAACCGTGGCAAGAAACGGGGCAAAATTCGCTTAACTAATGTCTCACTTAGCACTATAAATTTGGGGCTCAGTTATGGTCTTACGTCGAGGACTACCCGTATAGACAGTATAGAAGATGACCTTGACAGAGAGACGTTAGGGGAGATGAGTTACCAAAGGTATTAGGAGAACAGCCCCTCTTAAACCCAAAATATGCAGGTGGAATGTGAAAGCAGTTCTTAGACACCTCCTTAATTCACATGAGTATAAGAGGGGGAAGAGATGAAGTCCAGATTGATATCAGACTTACTAGGTAGACCCAACCAAAGCATCAGCTCTAAAACACGACTACTTGTATTAATAAGTGGCTGTCATAACAGCAGGGATCCCTACTAACAAGGGGAGGGGTCTGGCTTTTGTCCTGTAGATCCTGGTCCTGTCCAATGCAGCCAAAAATGCGTCATCTGTGGGTGAGATTGTCAACCTGGTATCTGTCGACGTGCAGAAGCTGATGGACCTGATTATTTATTTTAATGGGACTTGGCTTGCTCCTATCCGGATTGTCATCTGCTTTGTCTTCCTTTGGCAGGTAAAAAAAAACAAACAAACACAACATTGTCTATGGAGATTCTCAGTCATCCAGATCATGGTTGTCTCTGATTACATCAGCTCTGATTATATGGTCATGCCTTCTTAATCCATAACAATGCAGTTTCTGGCTGGCAAAGAGTTAGTGGGAGACTAGTATAGCTATTTCAGGCTCATTAGTTCTCATCAGCTAGTCATACCCTTCAGGGATTTGAACCTGGGCAGCTGCCTAACAAGCAAGCTGCCCGCTCCTAGATTGGAGCAAAATGCAGAACAGACTGATTTATATTTGGTAGACCGGGTGCCTCACCCAACAGATAAGATATATATTTTGTATATCTTATTCACAGATCTGGGAAGTCTTTCCTCCTTGAGATGCCGAAAGAATTGAATCCTTCCTGGGTTCTGTTCACCTGGCCACTAGATGTCTCCATTAGCTCGTTAAAAATGTTGAAAAGCTCCACCAAGGAAACAGACTTGAGTTGTTAATCATCTTTCTCATGAATATTTCAACTCTGGTGCTATTTCCTTCCTGTTCAATAGAAAGAGATGCACAAAAAAATAATAATATTCTGTGTTCTCTTCATTTACATTCTGGTTTCTGCATCCATTAGCTCCTCGGACCATCTGCTTTGTCTGCTGTCGTCATATTTTTAGTTCTCTTACCTCTGAACTTTGTGATCAGCAAGAAGAGAAGCCAGCTCCAGGTATGGGGCCTAAAATACTTCAGTAAATAAGTAAGTTTAATTCCCTTCCTTAGACTGAACCTGTGTCACCTGGTGACATCCAAAGATGTTGGCCAAGAATTCCTACAAACGGCAACTAAAAGCCGGGCATCTTGGGAGTTGTAGTCTTACACAAGGACTTCCAGATGGAGAACCTCGACCAGGAACACAATTCTTACATAAGAACATTGTTTCATTGTTATCAGTGGGCAGAGGTGAACCAGAAGCTACTGAATGAAGTCATTGCTGGACACACATCTTTAATTTCATATTGTTTGCTGAAATTTGGCTGAAATTTGGGGGGGAAATTGTTTTGGGTTCTAATAAGAAGTCTAAGCCTGAAGTTGACCAACTTTGGGTGTGCCCCAATGGATAATTTATATCCAAGGTTTCAGGTAGACCCCTTCTGTCCATCTATGACTCTTTGCCAGGACTTTGTGTTTTTTCTTATATAACAATGTTGTCAATCACTTCAGTCATGCCAGCTGGGACAATGTAAAACAAAGCAAAAAAATCTGTAAGAAGTAATATAACTTAATAAAATAAGATAAATACGAATACTCTAAGTTGGATCTTCTAACCAACCAAGGTCAGACATATGCTTGGGGGATTTGATCTTCAGAGCTTGTAAAATGCAAGAAGGGTCGGGGCTGAGAAGAACTCCATTTGTGTTTGTGTCTGAGTGTCGTGGTGTAATTATTACTAAGTGTTACAATTCCAATTGTCTTATTGGTGCTACAAACCTGAACTCCATCTTTCAGGAAGTTCAGATAAAGTATAAGGACAGCCGTGCAAAACTTACCAGCACCATCCTCAGTGACGTGAAGGTCCTCAAACTGCATGGCTGGGAGAAGAACTTCATAAGCAAAGTGCTGGGCATCCGAACTCAAGAACTTCAAGCTCTCAAAACGTCTCAGTTCCTCTTCTCAGCTTCTCTTGCGTCTTTCCAGTCATCCACTTTTCTGGTGAGCCCTGCAGGTTGACCTCCCCAAAATGCCATATGGTTTTGATAGGGTTTCACCCCTTCTCCTGCTTGCTTCTCTACAGATTTCGTTCATCGTCTTTGCGGTCTACACGTTGTCGGATAAGACAAATGTCTTGGATGCTAAGAAAGCTTTTGTTTCTCTTAGCTTGGTCAACATTCTCAATACTGCTCATTCCTTTCTTCCATTTTCCATTAATGCTGTTGTCCAGGTGAGTTGCTTTGACTACGTTGCATCGGTTTCACTGGGGGTTGGTCATCATCCCAGGCACATCAGTTCTGCATTTCTTCAAGTGGTCCTTCTATTAGGCAGTTGCTTCAAACATGTTGACATCTCCAAAGAAATCATCTTGCTCTTTTTCTCATCTTCCTGATGAGATCCCACAGCAAGGGAAGGAGGACTGTCTACATGAACCATCGTCCAAAAATGATTTAAATGCTGGTTTTCTTCTAGACCAGGAGTCTCCAAATTCTTCAGCTCAAAAGTGTTCCTTGACCCCTAAGCATTTATCTTGAAAATAATTTAATAAAGACTCCTTTAACTGATAGTAGTACAAATAACAACAACATAATCATAATAATAATAAATAAACAAGGCCAGTCATATCACATGGCTGATAGAGACAACTAAAGGCCACTCTAGCAGCTGACCATCCAACCTTGAGTAATAATGTCTCATCTCACCTTCAGGTCTACAAACTGGGCTGAAGCTCTACATCAGGGGTCTTCAAACCTGGCCCTTTGATGACTTGTGGACTTCAATTCCCAGAATTCCTCAGCCTTAGCATGCCTGGCTAAGGAATTCTGGGAGTTGAAGTCCACAAGTCATCAAAGGGCCAAGTTTGAAGAACCCTGCTCTACATGAAACTCCAAAAACTTAATTGATCCCAATTGACCTTTTATCCTTTGCCTACTGACCTCCCAGACATTTAATGGCTCCCTTTTGACCTCCAATCATTTATGGACCACTTGGATGGTCTCATTGACTGTTGGTCTCATTGAATATTGATCACTTTGGAGAACCATATCCAAACCTTTTGTTAACTGTGTGGTGTCGACGTGTATTTTGTTCTAGGCAAAAGTTTCCATCCGTCGCTTAGCTACCTTTCTTTCTCTTGAAGAATTAGATCCAACACAGGTGGATGTTGAGTCTTCGGACCGCAGTAAGTATTGACTTTGTGTTTCCTCCAAATGGGTGATTTAGAATTTCCAATCGGCGTAAACATGATTGATTATCCTGAGAATTAAAGCCTGAACATCATCTTGAAAGCTTGACATTCTTGAATTCGGATGCCCAGAACTTTGCTTATGAAGTTTTTCTCCCAGCCATGCAGTTTGAGGACCTTCATGTCACTGAGGATGGTTGGGTGGGACCAGATTAGCCACTGCAATCCCTCAAGTGACTAATCAAGGGATCTTCAAACTTGGCCCTTTGATGACTTCTGGACTTCAACTCCCAGAATTCCTCAGCCAGGCACCTGCCCCCCCCTATTTACTTTGCTTGTCAGAAGCCCCCTGGGAAGTAGTAATCATGACACCCTGGGAGGCTGCAACTGCCATATAGACAATATGGTTGGCAAGTGCCTGAGTTCTGATCCCTTGACACTGTGACAGTCATAAGTGCTAGGACTGATTCAAGTCCCTTTTCTCTGTGTCGTCCTGACTTTGGATTCTCCTTAAACCGATGCTCTTCAGTCAAGAATTGCCATATTATTATTATTCAGTGTATGATGAGAACCTGACAAAAGAGCAATACACAAAAGCATATAATTCACGTAATTGTATACAACATCTTCTGTGGGGGTGGCAGTGGCCTCGTAACTGGGTTATACACTTTTTCGAAATAATATCGAAAGCAGACCATCATCCCCAAACGTGTGCTGATTCATGCATTTCTCTGTTAGATTCCAACTGCATTATGGTCACGAATGGAACTTTCAGCTGGTGCAGAGAAGGCAGTCCATGCCTGAATAGGTAAAATGTCAGTGGTTCAATTGGAAGTACAATTCTCTTCCCCTCCTTTACGGCAGAAGAAACTAGGGAGGGTCCCATCTGAGCCTTTTGCTTTGCCTATTGTTCTGTCCCAGCCTACGTGAGTCCTTGTTAAGCTCATAAGGAGAAACCCTTCTTCCAACAGGCAGGCTGGAACCACAGGGAAAAACCAATCTGCCTGTATTTTCAATCTGCCTCTTCATAACATCCACATTGTGGTGGTGCAGTGGTTAGAATGCAGTATTGCAGTCTGACTCTGCCCACTGCTAGGAGTTCGATCCTGACCGGCTCCAGGTTGACTCAGCCTTCCAGCCTTCTGAGGCCGGTAAAATGAGGACCCAGATTGTTGGGGGCAACAGGCTGATTCTGTAAACCACTTAGAGAGGGCTGTAAAGCACTGTGAAGCGGTATATAAGTCTAAGTGCTAATGCTATTGCCAGTAACTCAGCCTTCCATCCTTCCGAGATGGGTAAAATGGGGACTCAGGTTGTTGGGGGCAAGAGGCTGACTCTGTAAACTGCTTAGAGAGGGCTGCAAAGCACCGTGAAGTGGTATATAAATCTAAGTGCTAATGCTATTGCTATTATTTCCTGTCCCTTTCTGTACCTCCAGATCTCCACCTTGAATTTAGTCTGGCTGGTGCCAGGATCTTCCCACCCACAATACAGCTTGAAGATGACTAAGATGTACATTTTTACCTTTATAGGATAAATCTTACGGTACCTCGGGGCAGTCTGTGTGCTGTGGTGGGTCAAGTGGGGGCTGGCAAATCCTCCCTGCTCTCAGCGTTACTTGGTGAACTGCACAGAATGGAAGGTTCTGTAGTAATCAAGGTAAAGCACTTTAAAACCAAATTTATTCAAGGTGTGGTTAGCCTTCCCCAACCCAAGCATCCTCTGAATATGTAGACTTCAACGCCCAGAATTCTCAGCCATGGCCTCATTGTCTCGGGAACTCTAGGAACTGAGAGGACCACTTTGAAAGGACAACCAGACTGGGACAATCTGCTTTAGGATCTAGTTTATTTTTGTGCGTTGTAATTCTAGTGTTTCATGTATGGTTTTAGTAGTTTGAATCCCTTCAGTGGTGGCTTTCAATCAAGGGATCCACCACTTTCAAAACTGGGCTTTTTAGGGGTGTCCTTAAGAAGTTGTCATCTCTGTTGGAACTCATGCCTGGCTTGGTGAAAAGGCACCATTTTAGGACCTCTTTTGGGAAACATAGAAACTTTGACTTCAGCAGATGCAAGTCTCTCTCTCTCTCTCTCTCTCTCTCTCTCTCTCTCTCTCTCTCTCTCTCTCTCTCTCTCTCTCTCTCTAACTTGGTGAGTTTCACTACTTTTCTTTTTAAAGGGCACCACAGCGTTTGCTCCCCAGATATCCTGGATACAAAATGCTTCTGTGGAAGACAATATCGTATTTGGGAAAAAAATGGAGAGGGCATGGTACAAGGAGGTAGTCAAAGCTTGCGCCCTGCAGCCCGACATAGACAGTTTTCCAGCTGGAAGCCAGACAGAAATTGGAGATAAGGTACTGGATCATTATTTGTTATTTATCTAGTAACATATCTAAGAATATGGAATATGGTGGTATTGTTGATAATCTTCTTCTTCTTCTTCTTCTTCTTCTTCTTCTTCTTCTTCTTCTTCTTCTTCTTCTTCTTCTTCTTCTTCTTCTTCTTCTTCTTCTTCTTCTCTTCCTCCTCCTCCTCCTCCTTCTTTTGCTCTTCTCCTTCTCTTTCTCCTCCTTCTCCTCCTCCTCTTAGAAATCCTTTGGAAAAAACCTCTCAAAATTTTACTGCTGTCACTCAAGCATGATATATACCTCTCTCTAGACCAGTGAAATGAAACAACTCCCTAATGGTTGAGTTGTGATGAAAGAGCATCGGCTTTGCACTCAAAGAGTTCCAGCTCAAACCCCAGCATCTCCACAGGGCAAACAAAACCTTATGTTTATTTTAAATAAATCTTTGAGTCCTTTTCCCAGTCAGTGTGGAGTGGGGAAGTAGGGAAGAGGACCTGGCACCCTCCAAAGATTGCTAGTTCTCTCCCCAGAAGCTTTAGCTTGCATGGTCTATAGTGAGAGATAATGGAAGATGATTGAGGACTTTTTTTTTTTTTTGCTGCTACAGGGCATGAATCTTTCTGGAGGGCAAAAGCAGAGGCTGAGCCTGGCTCGTGCAGTTTATATGAAGGCCTCAGTTTACCTCCTGGATGATCCCCTCTCTGCTGTGGATGCTCCAGTTGGCCGGCACATTTTCAGCCAAGTTCTTGGACCAAATGGCTTGTTGAAGGAAAAGGTACTTGGTGTTCCAAAGTCTCCTATGTTTGTCGGAACAGGATCTGATGCATTACAGGGAGTCTACTATTTACAGTTCAGCCATTTATGGAGTTCACCATTTGGCCTGCCCCCCTCTTGTAATCAACATTTCAAAGCTCATTTGGTCAGTATCTCAGGGATTGTCCTCTTGTTTTCCAGACTCGCATCCTGGTAACCAACTCCATCCACGTTCTTCCCAAAGTGGACAACATCATTGTGATGGTGAATGGAGAACTGTGTGAGATGGGCTCTTGGCAAGAACTGATACAAAAGCAAGGGGCATTTTCAGACTTCTTGAGGTCCCAGAACCGTGAAGAAAAAGACCACCAGGATTTGCAAATGACTGCTGGTCATCTCAAAGGTCATCCGTACTTAACAGTTGATACAACTGAGTATTATTATCCATGAACAGACTTGTTAGAATTGGAGCCACTTCATGTATTCTTTGGGGTTTCTGACAAAACCCTTCACACAATGTATTCATGTGTTCTTCAGAGGGCTCTTGACCCCCTAGCAAAAGTCATCTGGAAGCCAAGATTGGTAGAAGGCAGAACCAGATATGATAAAACAGAACAGAATAACAGAGCTGGAAGGGAACTTAGAGGTCTTCTAGTCCAGCCCCCTGCTCAAGCAGGAGACCCTATATCATTTCAGACAAGTGGCTGTACAGTCTTTTATTAAATCTCCAGTGATGGAGCACCTACCACTTCTGAAGGCAAGCTGTTCTTAATGCTACAGTTATAGTGAGTAGGGTGTGTAGAATTATACAGCTACACAATTAAAGTGGCCATGAAGAAGGGAAAAGAAACCACAGTGGCATCACTGCACAAATAATGTGTAATTTGAGTTATTTCTGGTTTTCATTTCTCCCTTCCCTTCTGTGGATGGTCATGATTGCATCATGTTGATAATCTTGTGAAATTACTACCCCATGGATTATGGCGAAGAAGTCCTATGTGATTACTATTTCCGGGTCCCAAATCCATACATTTTCTCAAAATCTGGGGGTTATTCTTCTAAGGTCTCTCTATCATGTCTTTTCTGAGACTTTGATCCATCTTGACTCCACAGATGTGGGAAACATTAAGAGAATCTCCACAGCTCCTGTGACACAGGATGAAACCCCTGGAAAGTAAGTGATTTATTTCTTTATTTGTTTGAAGACCCCTGGGTTAAGGCATCAGCCTAGAAACTGGAAGATGGCAAGTTCTTTTCTAAAATGCAGGCAGTTGATGCATCTTACTTTTCTTTGAACAAAGGACAAGTCAGCCTTTGGCCAAGAGAGACAGTTATAAGCCGACAGATGAGCAAGGAAAAAGACTAATGACAGAAGACAAGAAGCAAAAGACTGGACGGGTAAGTTAAAGGATCTGCTTATTCGGTTCTTGCGTGAGGATGAACTTCACAATTTTATTCAGTTGGGGGCCTTCTTCGCTTTCAAGCAGTTTGGGCTTTCATCCTTTGAATATTATGGTCAATTATCATTCTTGCACAGTCAGCCAGATGTTCAGACCGGATTTGGCATTTTTGTCCAACTATCGAGTTCTTCCCAAGGTCCTGGGATAAGCAGATGTGGATGTTTGATATTGTTAAAGATTTCATCGCAAGATGCAAGCTGTTCCAAGTCAAGCTGCCTTTTGCAATTGACCGACAGTGATTTTGTCAGTGCTGATGGTGTTCAAGTCAAGCTCCTGAAGTTTTGAGAGTGTACCCAATATTCCGATGATGATGATGATGATGGTTTGTTGCACAGTCAGTTGGATGTTTACATTAGATTTGGCATTTTTATCTACCTATCGAGTTCTTCCCAAGGACCTGGGATGGGTAGATGTTATTTTAAGGTAGTGTCACAAGATACAAGTTGTTCCAGGTCAAGCTGCCTTTTGCCATTGACTGATGGTGTTTTTGTCAATGCCGATGGTGTTCAAGTCAAGCTCCTGAAGTTTTGAGATTGCACCCAATATTCCGATGATGATGATGATGATGGTTTGTTGCACAGTCAGTTGGATGTTTAGATTTGGCATTTTTCATCTACCTATCGAGTTCTTCCCAAGGACCTGGGATGGGTAGATGTTATTTTATGGTGTTAAAGGTATCGTGGAAAGATGTAAGTCAAGCTGCCTTTTGCAATTGACCGATGGTGATTTTTGTCAATGCCAGTTCTTATTCTTATTTCTTTCCCTTGATTTAGGTAAAGATTTCCGTATACCTGATGTACCTGAGAACAGCAGGTTCCCTCTTCTGGGTTTATATTGTACTCCTGTTTGCCTGCCAGCAAGTTTTCTCATTCTGCCGTGGCTATTGGCTCAGCCTGTGGGCCAATGACCCCATTTCCAATGGGACACAGCCTCATACCCAGCTCCGCGTGGGCATCTTTTTTCTCCTAGGATTCACGCAAGGTTTGGCTAACTCCCTTGCAGAAGACAGCATGGAATTCTGGGAGTTGAAGTCCACATAACTTAAAAGTTACCCTCTCTTGCTCCCTTTAGTATTTTCTGTCATCTAATGGTTATTTTTGATTTTAATTTATGATGGTGACCTATCTTAGGTGCCCCTCACAAACAGCAGAAATCTGGACCTTAAATTCGTTCATGTAAAAGTATCACCACCAAATATTTTATTCATTCATTTCTTCCAGGGAGGTCCAACTTCACTAACTTTAAGACCTGTGGACTGGAACTCCCAGAATTCTTAAAGTTGCCAAGGTTGGATGTCCCTGATTCATTCATTCCATCAATCAATTAATCAATGTATATAGCCACCCATCTCACTTTTACCTGAGGATAATTCTGAAAAGAAACAGGCCCCAGCTGCCTGAAACAGCGGGAATCTTTCATCTTTTGTTGCAGCCATTGGGAAATTCGGATCTGTTGCTGCTGTGTTTTTGGCCGGGATCGTGGCTTCCCGTAAGCTCTTCCAGCAGCTCCTGTGGGATGTTCTCCGGTCTCCAATGATCTTCTTTGAGCAGACTCCCAGCGGTAACCTACTCAACCGTTTCTCCAAAGAAATGGACGCAATTGATTCCATCATCCCAGACAAGCTGAAGTCTCTGCTGGGCTTCCTATTTAACCTTCTGGAGATCTATGTTGTGATTGTGGCGGCCACCCCAATGGTTTTGGTGGCTATTTTGCCTCTGTCAGCCTTATACATTGCTTTTCAGGTGTGTAGCGTCTTCAGAACTAGAACTAACTAGAAAACTTGATCTATCTGTTTACCTATAGATAGAACTAGAACTAGAACTATTGTGTATGGATAGAACTAGAACAAGATCAAGATCAAGAACTAGAACTAACTAGAACTACATACATATATACACATATATACATACATACATACATACATACATACATACATACATATATATATATATATGGTACAAATAAAATACGAACACCAGGAGAGTATAAATATAAAAATATACTTTACTATATTTATCATTTATTTATCTATCTATTTATTTTATTTTTTTAGATAGAATTAGAACCTGAACCAGAATCCAGAACCAGAGCTAGATAGAACTATCTATTTAATTGTGTGTATGGATGGCACTAAAACTGGAATTGAAACTGGAACTGGAACTAGAACTTATCGTCTACTTAACTCTCTGTGTGGATAGAAATAGAACAGGAACTAGAACTAGAACAGGAACTAGAACTAGAAGTATCTATTTATACACACAGACATCTCTTTGAGATATAGACAGAAACAGAGATAGAGATAGAAATAAAATATGTAAATTTTCGTGATGGAGGCTTTGGAACCTCCCGTGGAAACTTTTTCAACCAAAAAGCAAAAATTTATGGAAGGCAGAGAAAGTCCTGCTCCTTTTCCTTCTTCTTCTCCTTGGAGGGCACTTTCCCTACAAATAATGTGCTAGAGTTCCCAATCTTCTCCCCAATGTAGGAGAGATCCCACCTCCCACCTCCCTTGCGCTAAGGCTGAGCTCCCTCCAAGCCAAACCCAAGCCCTTGGGATCAATATGGACTTCCTTCTTTAGCGGCCTCTTCTTTCTTCCTTTCCCTGCGCAGGTCTTTTTTGTCACCACCTCCTGCCAACTGAAACGCTTGGAAGCCGCAAGCCGCTCACCCATCTATTCCCACGTCTCCGAGACCTTTGAAGGGAGCAGCCTCATTCGTGCTTTCAGAGCCCAGCAGCGTTTTGTTGTCCAGAATGATGTCAGAGTAGATGAAAACCAGAAGATGTCTTTCCCTGCAGTGGTTGCTGACAGGTATAAAGAATTTCACTGGCTGGGAGGGAAGAAAACACCTTGTTCAGACAACTTGTTAAAGGGGACAGTGCCTGCTCTCTCAGCCTAGTTAGACCTGGAGCAATGTTTTCTTTCTCTTCTTCTCTCCTCTCCCCCTTCCCTTCCTTCCTCATCCATTCTCCACCTTTCCTTCCTCCTTCCCTTCCCTTCTGCATCCATTTTCCATCTTCCCTTTCCTTTCCTTCCCTTCCTCATCCATTCTCCACCTTCCCTTCTTCCTTCCCTTCCCTTCCTCATCCATTCTCCATCTTCCCTTCCCTTCATCCATTCTCCACCTTCCCTTCCTCCTTCCCTTCCCTTCCTCATCCATTCTCCACCTTCCCTTCTTCCTTCCCTTCCCTTCCTCATCCATTCTCCATCTTCCCTTCCCTTCATCCATTCTCCACCTTCCCTTCCTCCTTCCCTTCCCTTCCTCATCCATTCTCCACCTTCCCTTCCTCCTTCCCTTCCCCATCCATTCTCCACCTTCCCTTCCTTCTTCCCTTCCCTTCCTCATCCATTCTCCATCTTCCCTTGCCTTGCCTTGCCTTCCTTTCCTCATCCATTCTCCACCTTCTCTTCCTCCTTCCCTTCCTCATCCATTTTCCATCTTCCCTTCCTCCTTCCCTTGCCTCCCTCCCCTCCCCTCCCCTCCCTATTTCCTATTCCAGATGGCTTGCCACCAACATTGAGATTCTGGGGAACACCATTGTCCTCTTTGCAGCTTTGCTCGCTGTGGTGTACAAAGCCCATCTCAGTCCTGGCACGGTGGGCTTTTCCATCTCCTCTGCTCTTCAGGTAAGCTCTGGGTAGGCAGCATAATAGAACTTTAGGCAATGCATTTACTTCTGAGGTTTTGTGTGGGCTTTCAATGGCCTGGGGTCATAGACTCCCCTTCTTCTTTGCCAGATCACTGGCGTCCTGAACTGGATGGTGCGTGCCTCGGCGGAAATTGATAACCAAATCATGTCTGTGGAAAGAGTGAGAGATTATTCACAGAGCCCCAAAGAGGTAAGTCTTTCTTCTCATCAGTCACAAAATGGCCCAGCTCATTTCCTCATTTAGTTAACCCTGGATCTCCTGTCTGTCTGCCCACCTAACCTGTCTGTCTGTCAGCCCTCCCAGGTAAACTAGCAATAGAACACTAAACCATCTAATTCTATTTTGTTGTAAGGCTGCAGTATCTTGCAAATCTGAAAATGCAAATCTCCTGCTGTCACTTTTATCAGTCTGAAATGTTAAGTGGATCTTACTTGCGTTTCTTTCTTTGCCCGTTAAGCAATTGTGTAGTCTCTTGTCTTATATGAGCCCTGGTGGCACAGTAGTTAGAATGCAGTATTGCAGACTAACTCTGCCCTCAGTCTGGAGTTCAATTATGATAGGTTTAAGGTGGACTCAGCCTCCCGTCCTTCCGAGGTTGGTAAAATGAGGGCCCAGATTGTTGGGGGCCATAGGCTGACTTTGTAAACCGCTTAGAGCAAGCTGTAAAGTATTGTGAAGCTGTATATAAATCTAAGTGCTATTGCCATTGACTCAACCTTCCCTCCTTCCGAGATGCGTAAAATGAGGACCCGGATTGTTGGGGGCAAGAGGCTGACTTTATAAACAGCTTAAAGAGTGCTGTAAAGCACTATGAAGCAGTGTATAAGTCTCAGTGCTATTGCTGTTTCTATTGCTCTCTTTCCCCTTCATCCCTCACGGTCATGCATATGATTGGACACTCCCTGGTTGGCAAATCAGAATAATCCCGTTTGTGCATCGTACCACACCAAAATGAAAAGATGATACTGTGGTTCACTGCAAAGTAGCACGTATCCCAATTGTGGGGTCGGAAGCACGTCTGTCATTCACTCGCCTGAAAAAAAGCCAACCCAAGTAGTTTTAAGTCCTTACTGCTGCAATCAGATCTTGTTTTGTGTGTGTGTGTGTGTGTGTGTGTGTGTGTTTGTGTGTGTGTAGTTTTGCCTCTTTGAGCTTCTCTTGGGATTTGCTAATATGAGCTAGCATTGTCGTTGCATCTCTTTCAGGCTCCATGGACTTTGGATGATCCTCTCCAGGGTGGCAGCTGGCCCACTGAAGGAGCCATTGAACTCAGAGGCTATAGTTTACGATACAGGCCAGAATTAAGCCTAGCTCTGAAGAATATCAACCTAAAGATCAAACCTCATGAAAAGGTAAGACTTAATAGAGCAATGTTTCTCATCCTGGACAACAAAGATATCTGGACTTCAACTCCCAGAATTCCCCAGCCAGCATGAAAGATCACCTAGTCCAGGGGACTCCGAACTTGGCAAATTTAAGTCTTGTGGACTTCAACTCCCAGAATTCCCCAGCAGGGGGGGAATTCTGGGAATTGAAGTCCACAAGACTTAAAGTGGACAGGTTTGGAGACCCCAGATCTCGTCCAAAGTCTTATTCCTTGCACTAGAAAGTTTGGTCCCTTAAAACATCCAGCATTCAGTAGGGACTAAGCTGTTGATTTTGGACCTGTGAGATACAGATGGAAGTCCTTGCTGGACCAGTGAATCCACAAGTATATTTGAACCGGTTTTATTTTTTTAATAAGCAAAGTTCATGCGGTGGTTGTGGTGAGAACGTAACAAGGAGATACTCCTCTATATTTGAGAAAGCAGGATAAGGAAGAGTAATTCTCTCTCCTTGTTTCCCATCAGGTGGCTCTTCCTTCTCCAACCTCTGTTTTTCTCTTGTAGGTGGGCATCGTTGGAAGAACAGGGGCTGGGAAATCGTCCCTTGCAATGGGGCTTCTGAGACTTGTGGAAGCTGCTGATGGGGAGATTGTGATCGACGGAATCAACATTGCCCAAATGGGCCTGCACAACCTGAGAAGCAAGATTACGATTGTCCCACAGGTATGAAGTCAGTTTATCCCTTTCACTTGTTATTGTTCTATTCCCCCCCGCCCCCCAATAATATTGATATCCCAAGCCACACCTTCAACAGACACCGATGTTTCATTCGGTCTTTCATGATGGGGGTCAAGATCTTTTGCATGATCTTGTAGGATGTTGTAGATAACCTCCATCGCAATAACCCAAAGTTGTCAGGTACAAGTAACTTGAGTTGAGTTCAAAGCACTAAAAGTTTATTACATACTACCCATATACAAGAATCTGGTCTACTAACGGTCAAGTCAAATTGGCACTAGATGTGGGTCAGTGAAATTCACAGGAGACTGGACTTGGCTCTTTTGTGGCTGCACGGTGATTCCAAACTGATGATGCCTTTAACCCCATCCTTGAGCTCAGCCTGCTCATTTCCTACACAAGTCAGCATAAAGAAGGCAAAAAGAGAATTGCAACTAAATATTTACACAGGGGCGCATATTCCTCTCAAATCAGTTCTCCAATGTTTTTTTTTCTTTCAACGCCTCGCAAAGTCAACGTTATATATGCATTTTGGGTTGCATCTTCTCATATCTGTACACTTTAGCGACCTTGTGATATCCATGTGTTCACCTTTCTTCATCTACTGGATCCCCAAGGATAGCTTCGCTCCTGTGCTATGGAAAATAGACTCCATATCTTGTGTTTCTTCTCTTCTTGTGCTCAGGACCCAGTCTTGTTCGGGGGTTCTTTGAGAGAGAACCTCGATCCCTTGGACCAATACTCGGATGGGGATATCTGGACTGCTTTGGAGCAGACCCAACTCAAGAGCTTTGTTTCAGATCTGCCAGGTCAGCTGGCCTATGAGTGCTCTGAAGGAGGTGGAGATCTAAGGTACTCAAACCAGAGATGGAAAGAAGAAACATCTCTTCTGTTGTGATTTGGGGGCTTGGTTTGTTTGTTTGTTTTTCGAGTTATGGGCTCATCGATGTTTCTGATGACCGTGCCTTGCTTCAACTTGGGTTTACAATTTTGAGATGGATTGTAATCGATGGGAGATTAGACCCAGAGGCCGATTGTGGTTTAATTCCTAACACTTTTATTCCTAACCTTTTGAGGTTATCCTCAAAGAGAGGACCACTGAAAAGCACTTAAAATAACAGCCTAGGGAACTTTTGATTTAACAGAGTGTTTGGGGAAAGCGGTGCCCGTCACCCTGCCTAAGTTGCAAATGTTGTCATTTGTGGTGATTGATGTCATTTGCATAATGACATCATTATGTAAATGCCATGAATTGCGGCAAATTGTATACAGTTCAAATTAATGTAAATTTAAGAGTTTCAACCAGAATACTCTGGATGCAAGAGACTCATATAGTATTGGCAGAGGGTGGGCGGAGGGGATTGGATATGTTGAGGGGAGTGTGGGTCTGTACTAAAATGTACTAAATTGGGGGTTGGTTAAATCAGTTGTAGGCCACACTTGTGTTCCAAAAAATCATTTTGTAATCAGATCTGAGGCATTGCACAGATCTGTGGTGCATTTGGTTTTGTGGCATGCTTGGTGCTCTCTGAGCTTGGTTACTTTCTTGCAGACATTCTGTTACCCAACTAGGTGCACTGATGATGTTACCTAGGTGGGTAATAAAATGTCTGCAAGAAAACCACCAAGCTCTCCTATTTGACGAGATGAAAATTTAATGAAAAGAAGGACTAGGGAGAATATGATAGCATTGTTATAATATTTGAGGGGCTGCCACAAAGAAGAGAGGGTCAACCTATTCTGCGGAGTACTTGAAGGCAGGACAAGAAGGAATGGATGGAAACCAAAGGAGAGAACCAACCTAGAATTAAGGAGAAATTTCCTGACAGGGAGAACAATTAATCAGGGTCACAACTTGCCTTCAGAAGTTATGGATGCTCCAACACTGGAGGTTTTTAAGAAGAGACTGGACAATCATTTGTCTGAAATGATATAAGGTTTCCTGCCTGAGCAGGGGGTTGGACTAGAAGACCACCAAGGTCCCTTCCAACTCTGCTATTCTGTAGATAGGGATTACCTTGGATTTTCATTGTCTCCCCATTTTCTTCCAGTGTTGGTCAACAGCAGCTCATCTGCCTGGCCCGGGGTCTACTTCGGAAAGCCAAAATCCTGATTCTGGATGAGGCCACCACAGCTGTGGACCTTGAAACAGACCTGCAGATTCAGTCTACCATAAGGAGTCAGTTCAAGGACTGCACAGTTTTGACCATTGCCCATCGGCTAAACGCCATGATGGAATTTGACCGGTAAGAGGTGGCTTTGAAGAGGATTCCCAAGTGAATGGATAAAATGGCCTGAAGAAACGGAGGGAGATGTGGCGATATTATTTGAAATTGGAGCAGAAAAATAAAAACAGGAGGAGATGTATTTGGAACATACACTTGGAAAATAAGAATTTAAATCTATCAAAGGGCCAAAAATAGAGAGAAAGATGTAGAATGGAAAGGAGGAGAGAAAGAAAATAAGGTCATCCTCAACTCAAGTCAGAACTCAATATCAATAGACATCTTCAACATTCTAGCTATTACTATCTAGTAAAGGTGGCCTTTGACTTACAAACATTTGTTTGGTGACTGTTTGAAGTTACAACAGCATTGAAAAAAAATGACTTATGACCAGTCCTTGCATTTATAACCATTGCAAAATCCCCACAGTGACATGATCAAAATTCAGTTACTTGGCAACTGGCATATAATAGAAATAGAAATAATAGAAATAGAAATACTGTGGCAAAGGCAAGCAAGGGTAGTACCAATAGTAATAGGCACCTTGGGTGCAATCCCAAAACAACTGGAGCACCACTTGAACACCATCATTGGCATTGACAAATTCGCCATTAGTCAATTGCAAAAGGCAGCCTTACTAGGAACTGCTTCCATCCTGAGATGAGATCTGTAATACCATCGAACATCCACATCTGCCTATCCCAGGTCCTTGGTAAGGACTCGATAGATAGACAAAAATGCCAAATCCAGTCTGAACATCTGGCTGACTGTGCGATGATCAATAATAATAATAATAAAGTTGGAAGGGACCTTGGAGGTCATCTAGTCCAATCCTCTACTCAGGCAAGAAACTCCATACTATTTCAGACAAATGGCTGTCCAGTCTCTTCTTAAAAACTTCCAGTGTTGGAGCATTCACCGCTTCTGGAGACAGGTTGTTCCACTGGTTAATTGTTCTGATTGTCAGGAAATTTCTCCTTAGTTCTAGATTGCTTCTCTCCTTGATTAGTTTCCATCCGTTGCATGACAATTGCAGCGTCTCAGATCATGTAATTGCCCTTTGCAACCATCCCAGCTGGCTTTTGATGAGCAAAGTCAATGGGGAAGCCAGATTCACTTAACAACTATGGCAAGGAAGCTTGTAAAACGGGGCAAAACTCACTTAATAACTGCCTTGCTTAACAACGGATATTTGGGGCTGAATTGTGGTCAAAAGTCGAGGACTACCTGTAATACGTTCACCCATTTCTCTAAGTTTAGCAGGCCCGAAAGCCGTTGCTTAAGGAGACTGAGTCACTGAGGTAGCTTTTATCCAGTGGCCTTGTAGACTAATGTTCGTTTCTAATATTTGCAGAATTCTAGTGATGGAAAATGGACAAGTGGCCGAATTCGACACCCCAGAAGCATTGAGAGTTCAGAAGGGACTATTCTACAAAATGGCGGCGGACTCAGGGCTGGTGAGGTGACGGAGGGGAAAGAGCAGGCTGGATGGCTGCTTCTTCTGAAAAAGGACATTTTCTCATGCTTCTGCCTGTGAGCAGGGAGAGCTCAATCCTTGGCTTGTAAGACGATGGATGCTCTCTCTTGCTGCCTAAGTGCAGAGCAGATGGGGAACAGAAGTCTGACTCTTCCCAGCTTAATTTCAGCAGGGCCCTTTACTGCACCCACAATGCTGAAACCAGCAGGCACTGACCATGATCCACGCCTGGCTCAAGCAGAGGTCGCTGCCTACGCCGTCCCTGCCAGCCGAAAACACTGTGCAGATGGTTGCCAGGACCCATTGCACCGGCCTGCATTTTGGCGTGATCATGTCACCCATTGACTCATAATCTCCTTCACTGACTGTTGCTTTGTCCCCAATTAAAGCAACGAAATTACAGAAATAGTACATGCTAAACTGATCAGCGGAGCCAACTACTGTATCGTATCCCGCTGGAGACTGGATGAAATAGCAGAACATCGGAATAACAGAGTTGGGAGGGACTTTGGAGGTCTTCTAGTCCAACCCCCTGCTTGAGCAGGGGAGCCTATACCACTCCAGACAAGTAGAAATCCAGTCTCTTCTTAAAAACTTCCAGTGATGGAACACCCACAACTTCTGGACGCAAGCCGTTACACTGGTTGATTGTTCTCTCTATCAGGAAATTTTCTCCTTAGTTCTAGGTTGCTTCTCTCCTTGATTAGTTTCCATCTATTGCTTCTTGTCCTGCCTTCGGGTGCTTTGGAAAATAGTTTGACTCTTCTTGTCTTTGTAGGAGTCCCAGTGATGGCATTCAGCCAGTTTGCACCAGTTTGGCAGAACCGGTAGCTAATTTTTTGTTGCCCAGGCCCAGAATGGACTTCCGGAAGCGGCATCCACACAGACAACCGGTTGTTCACATATTTGAATCCCATCTCTGAGGAGTCCCTCAGTGACTGAGGATATCCAATATCCTTAGATATTGGAACACTGCTGTCATGTCACCCCTAACCTTTCTTTTCTCTAGACTGACCATGCCCAATTCCTGCAGCCGTTCTTCATATGTTTTAGCCTCCACTCCCCTAATCATCTTTCTTGCTCTTCTCTGCTCTCTTTCCACAGCATCCATTTTTTTTGTATATTTTTGTACACGTTGCAAACTCAGCCTTTCAGAAGATGCTATTGTCCCCTCACCTCATATTCCTGGGGTGGCTCAGGGTGGGTGCCCGAACAGCGTTAACACCTTGATCTAACCTTGATGGCAATCATGTATTGAAGCAAAAAATCAACTAGCACAGGGCAGTTGAGATGCCTTCTCATCGTCCATTCTGCCTCCTTCTCTCTCTCTTTCTCTGTCCCTCTCTGATTCACCCTTCTCAGCCCCTCCTCCAGCTTGCAAAAAAGAGCTGAAATACTCAAGCCCGTCTTTGTAAAGGGGGATCTCCTTTCCCTCCCCTCCTGCATCAGAGCTGCCTCTGAAAGGAGAGGCCTGATGTGGTTTTGCTAAAGCCGAGCTGGTTTCCAAAATCATGGAGCTACAGCAAGTGATGGTTCTGTTCTCCATGTTTATGGTTGGCAACTCAAAGCGTAAGTAAAAGGAACCATGGAATCTCCTCTCTATCTATCTATCTATCTATCTATCTATCTATCTATCTATCTATCTATCTATCTATCTATCTATCTATCTGTTGTGTGTGTGTTGTGTGTGTGTTTCCTCAGGGTCCCTTGGCCAGTGTCTCATCTGATTTTCTCCAGCCATGCCATTTTAATAGAAGAGTTTGTGGTATTTAATATGAGAGAGAGAGTGAGAGAGAGAGAGAGAGAGAGAGAGAGAGAGAGAGAGAGAGAGAGAGAGATGGTGATGGGCTATCAAAGTTGGCCAAGGTTGAGTAAAATCACACCCATCAACTTCAACTTCAAGGGTTCAAAAGCCAGCCAAGGGGTTAATCTTCTCAAAAATGATTTTGATTGCTTTTAATACCAGTTTTGTAAATCTTCCATGCTTTCTGTATCTTACCTAAGACACCACATATCTAGCTTTGCAGTTTATGTTTCTCTCGCTATTCTGGTTGAAGTCACCAGTCAAAAATGAAGGCTGCTTACCTGGTCAGGGGTGGGAAAAAAACCCAAAGACTTTTCTTTTTTTGAATAACTGGAAATCTTACGTGGACTTTCTGCTGAGAAAAAAGAAAAGATTGAACTGATGATTTGGGGATAAAAGGGGCTAAACAGGATGGAGAAAAGGATGAGATGCTAATTACTCAATAGAACAGCAAAAGGCATCACTATGTGTTCTCTTTTCGTTCCTTTTTTTTCTTTTTCTCACTATCTTTTCTGTATGCATTTATTGTATCCCAAAACTCTAATAAAACTATAAAACAAAAAAAACCCAGAAAATTTGTATAGAAAATAGTTTTTTTAAACATGTATATCAGGGAGGCTTGCTCACAATTTATTGTATTTAGGAGGGTGTGAACGCTGCATATTTGTCTGGAAAATGACATTCAAGCAAATGTATATTAGCCAGGGTACATGCATGCCTATTTTTTATATGAACTTTGGCGAAAAAAACTTTTAAAGGTCTCACCCAAGCATTAAGAAAAGCTTACAGCAATAGGACAAGCTAAATTTAAGCTGGGGGGGGGGAGAAAAAAACAAAGAGAATCTGACTTGAATAAATTGTTTTGTCAACACAGATGTTGGAAGAACTGGATTTTCCCCAAACTGGTAGTTTGAAAAGGCTCTTAACTGTGTCTCCTGGAAGGAACACACAGAATAGGATTTGGCTTTTCCCCAAATCTTTTTTTTTTTCCTCTGAATTTTGCAGAAAACAGTTTTCAGCACTTGTTAAACTCGTTCTTGATCCTCCAGAGATAATTTATACTTTTATGATAGGTAACAAGAGGGTGGTTGGAATGGAGAAACGGGGTGGAATCAAAAGAACAACATCTGGATCAGAGGAAAAAATCGCTCCTGCCTTCAGTTAGAAAGTTCCTACCATGATTATACAATCCACCCTGATCCTCTCATTTTATTGAGTACGTAGAGATCTTTTTTTTCTCCAAATAGATGTGAATAAAATAGTGGGGTTTTCTTGAGGCTGCAGGAAAGAGACGGAGGAGGGGGTGTCAATGAAGAGATTAAAACCTTCGGATCACAGCCTCTGAACAAAAGGGCTCCTGTTTACAATTTCAGCATCTGGGTCTGCCTCCCGCAATACCAGCCTTCACTGCTCCTCATCTCTGTTTTCCCATTTTCCAACTTTTCTCTTGCCGTGAACCTGCACAGGCAGTCCTCGACTTACAACAGTCCATTTAGTGACTGTTTAAAGTTACAACGTCACTGGAAAAAAATAAAGGATGACCGTTTTCCCCACTTACAACCGTTGCAGTGTCCCCAGGGTCATGTGATTGAAATTCAGACGCTGAATTTTTGACAGTGGCAGTATCACTGGGATCGTGTGGTCCCCTTGGGCGACCTTTCTGACCAGCAAAGTCAGTGGGGGTAGCCAGATTCACTTAACGACCGTGTTGCTAAGTTAACAATTAAGCGATTCCCTTAACAAGCGTGGGAAGAAAAATCGTAAAAGGGGGCAAAGCTCACTTAACCAACATCACTCTTAGCAACCTAAATTTTGGGCTCCATGGTGGTCGTAAGTGGAGAACTAGCTGTAGTTTGCTGATGTGAAGTCCTCCAGCTGATGATCTATTTAGAAGGGAGGGGAGGCCTTGGATCCCCTCCAAGGTTAATCAGACAAGTGGTTGATGCCTTAATCCTTCTGTCCTTGAAGCTGGGAGTCAGTGCCACTACAACAGATGCTTGTTCTGTTTCCCCCACTCCTGAATCCATTCATCCCATCCTTGTATAAATGTGGCAGTTTCCAAGACGACCGGCGTGACTTTCTGCAAATGTTACGTTGCTCCTTGAACGTTTTCCTAGACCTACGGTAAATAAACAGTTGCAGAATCCCCAAGTCAAGAAGCTTGCAAATGCTTTTCCGACCATTGCTATTGGTTTATCGTTTCAGGAAGCCCAGAAAATTTCCAGCACAAATACTCTTGTTCATCCCAGTGTGCAGGTAAGAGGATGAAGCAAATTTTCAGTAAGAAAACACAAGCAAATATAAGATATATGAATCTGCTAGTCCCTTCCATGTCCCTTCACTGATTAATCCAAATATCAGCCATCTGAATTTGTGCAATCCGTGTAAGAGCTAAACCTTAAGTTGAAACACAGGGGCGTTAGACATGTTAACACCTTCAGAAGGATGCAGGGTTTGAACCCTGGTGGGTTGGTTTGAATGGGACCAGTGCAAACCTTTGGTGGGCACCCCTCCTGTTTTCTTCTTCTGAGTTGATAGCATGCTAAGGACTTCATAAAATGAGATCCCAGGAACGTAGGATGCCTTCTCAGTCCCCAAAAGATCAGAATATCATATTCCTGCTGGTGTTTGCAACTCCCAAGGCAATCCATTCTAATGCCCCATTCCAAAAATTATCTTGACATGTTTAGAAATTAATAAGGCAATCAAAATGGGTAGAGCTTTGAATGCATCTTCATAGCTGCCATCTTCACTTTTTTGACCGTGTCCTGTGGACATTCAGGAAGAGTTGCAAAAGTTATCTGTCTAATATTCTCTAACGCCTAATCACATGGACTAATTTATTGCATCCACCTCAAACAGTGGCCCCCAACCTTTGAGGCACTAGGGACCGGTTCCATGGAGAGAGGTTTTTCTGTGGACTGCAAGAGGCGTGGTTTTGCGTGCTGCCTACATCTGGTGGATGGGGCTTTGCTTGTTTGGGCGGCCTGGTTTCTAGCATGCCATGGACCGGTGCTGGTCCATGGATCAGGGGTTGGGGACCCCTGACCTAAAGGATCTCCTCCAAAGCTGCTTTAAACAACTGGGCTCCATGAAGACACTGTCTCAGAACCCAGCTTTGCTTTCACAGGTTTTAGCACTGTTTCCGTGGGATCCAGATTTAGCTATAGCTACTCAACATCTACCACTACGTTCCTTCAAGGAAGGGCCTACCAGAGAAGTGGCATCATCCTGGAAAGTACAGTTGTGGTCAAGGTGTTGGCAAATTGTCATCGAATTTTAAAAGTGAGTAGTGCAATCAAGTGGGTTGAACCATTCGAGGGAGCATTCGTTTTCTTCCCTGGAAATAAAAGCAATTGGGGTAAGGCAGCTGTATGTGTGTATTAAAAACCCTAAAATCATCATACAAAAAGGGCAGATCTTCTCTGGATTCAAGTCTCAAAAATTGCTCTATGGACTATTTTCCATAGTCTATCTGTCTGTCTATCTACCCACCCACCCACCTATCTATCTACCCATCCTAAGTTCTCTCTCTCTCTCTCTCTCTCTCTTCCATCCATCCATCCATCCATCCATCCAACATCATTTATCATCTGTCTGTCTATCTATCTATCTATCTATCTATCTATCTATCTATCTATCCATCTATCTCTCTTGAACTACTTGAGAGTTGTATTGTGTTGACATCTGTTCTTATCCCTAGTTGCAAAGAGTACAGATCAAAACCATCTTTGAATCCGAGGTGAAGTTGATGAATGAAAATGACAATTTAAGGTAAAACAGCTTTGGGTCCCAAAAACAATCTT